AAAGGTGGAGAGAGGAGAAGTGGGCTGGAAGTGGTGGTAAAAGGTGGAGAGAGGGTGGAAGTGGCTGGTAAAAGGTGGAGAGAGGGTGGAAGTGCTGGTAAAAGGTGGAGAGAGGGTGAAGTGATGGTAAAGGTGGAGAGAGAGGTGGAAGTGGGTGAAAAAAGGTGGAAGTGGATGGACGAGCAGGAGAGTGGATGGTAAAGTGGAGGAGGCTGAGAGAGAGGTGGAAGTGCTGGTAAAAGGTGGAGAGGGTGGAAGTGGCTGGTAAAAGGTGAGAGAGGGTGGAAGTGGGTAAAAGGTGGAGAGAGGGTGGAAGTGGATGGTAAAAGGTGGGAGAGGTGGAAAAGGGCTGGGTGGTGAGAGAGGGTGGAAGTGCTGATAAAGGTGGAGAGAGGGTGGAAGTGGCTGGTGAAAGGTGGAGAGAGGGTGGAAGTGGATGGTAAAAGGTGGTGAGAGGTGGAAGGGGTGAAAAAAGGTGGAAGTGATGACGAGCAGAGAGAGGATGGTAAAAGGTGGAGAGAGACTGATGTGAGAGAGGGGGAAGTGGATGTAAAAGGTGGAGAGAGGGTGGAAGTGGCTGGTAAAAGGTGGAGAAGGGTGGAAGTGGATGGTAAAAGGTGGAGAGACTGATGTGGAGAGAGGGTGGAAGTGGGTGGACGAGCAGGAGAGTGGAGGGAGGTGGAGAGACTGATGTGGAGAGAGGGTGGAAGTGGGTGGACGAGCAGCAAAGTGGATGGTAAAAGGTGGAGAGACTGAAGGGTGGAAGATGGCGAGCTGAGTGGATGGTAAAAGGTGGCGGAAGGTGACGAGCAGGAGAGTGGATGGTAAAAGGTGGAGAGACTGATGTGGAGAATGGGTGGAAGTGGATGGAGGAGAGTGGATAAAAAAGGTGGATAGAGGGAACTGAAGGTAAAGAGGATGTCACAGAGGATGGCTGTGAAAACCCACTGACGAGACTGATCTGGAGTGCGGGTGGAAGTGGATGGACGAGCAGGAGAGTGGATGGTAAAAGGTGGAGAGACTGATGTGGAGAGAGGGTGGAAGTGGCTGTAAAAAGGTGGAGAGAGGGTGGAAGTGGCTTGGTAAAAGAGTGGAGAGAGGGGGAAGTGACTGGTAAAAGGTGGAGAGAGGGTGGGAAGTGGATGGTAAAGGTTGAGAGANAAGGCTTTTCCTTCTCGCTTGCACCCCGTCCCGTGCCTCTTTCCCTGTCCTTTTCCCCGAACCTTTTTCCCTGTCCCCTTTCTCCGAGCCTCTTCCCTGTCTCTTTTCCCCGAGCCTCTTTCCCTGTCCCTTTTTCCCGAGCCTCTTTCCCTGTGCCCTTTCTCCGAGCCTCTTCCCCTGTCCCTTTTCCCTGAGCCTCTTTCCCTGTGCCCTTTCTTCGAGCCTCTTCCCCTGTCCCCTTTCCCTGTGCCTCTTTCTTCCTGCTGCCAATTCCTCAACATACATCTTGTGTTTCGTGACGCTTTGCTGAGGAGCCAGTGACTGACCTGCTGAGTGTGGGAAAAGTGCTCCATGCAATCTCTCGCAATCCTTAGTCCTCCCTCTTCGGTTCCCACTGATTATCTGCGCAATGACTATTTTTTGCGTGTTGTAGATTGCATATCGGTCTGTCTATGTAAGTATCTATTAGTCTGTCTCTTTTTTTTGATTCTGTTTCTGACTGTGACTCTGCCTGCTTCTGTCTTTCTCATTCTTTCTCTCTTCTCTCTCTCTCCCTCTCCCTCGGTTTCGCTCTCAATATTTTTATGCGTAGTAAAACAAAAAAAAAAAATCCACAAAAGAACCAAAAGCACACAGCATTCTTTTCATATCGAAATCACAGAAATATTTACCACACCCTTTTGACGCAGCAAGAGTAGGCCTTACTTACTGAACTGGTGGTCACTCTTGCAAATCGGGAGTTTCTTCGCACTTTTCAACTGTGACGTCATGAGCAACACCAGCGCCTTCGTGATCACACCGGCTGTCAACACCACTCAAATGTGAGCAGGTAGTGAACACCTTGTACGAAAACAAGACCATAGATAGATAACGAAGATAGATATGCCAATATAAGGCGTTTAATCAAACTTTTAAGCAATTCACTTTTTTTTAAATCCGTGATTACCTAACAGATTCATGATACACAAATAACATTAAAATTAATAAAATAACAGAGAAATAAATACGAGTACCTAAGAATTCATATGCAATAATAATAATAATAAAACAACAACAAATAATAATAAGCAATAATAAATAAAAAAAATAAATGCGGTACCTAAAGGTACTATCACACAATCGCTTTTTCCGTCAATTTCTGCTTTTTCCGTCTGGAATTGAGGCTCTCCGCAAGTATCGTTTGCAAACGAAACGCCTCCCAGACGAAACGGTTACGCCGTTTCCGTCTTGATCTAATTCTATTAATAAATTAGATGGATAGTGAATGTTAAACGAAAGATAATATTTTAAGAACATTCGTATATACAATATACATCATCATATTTCTTTAAAATAACGTTAATGTGTATTGAGAATGTTCGTGGTGATTTCCGGGACCTCACTTCGACAGTGCCATGCTTAGTTTAACATGGATCAGACGATCTTCAAAACGAAAATTCATTCGGAAATTTCCTATGAATTCGAAATTCGAAAGTTTTAATACGAGAGTTCATTCGGAATGAAAAAAATGACGGAAAAAGTGATAGTGTGATAGGCCTTAATAGTACCAAATATGCAAACAAAAAATCAACAATCCCTTTCAAAACAATCATTTCCTTTCACCAGACGGCCTTCGCTCTCTGGCCGAGGCAGCCCAGCCCTCCCGCGCCGAAAGCCCACTCACCTTGAGGCATTTCACTGTGTGAACTCGAGGAACTATACTGACCGTCTTCGAGAGGGAGCTGTTGACGGGGGGCGTCGTGCGGAACACGTCCCATGCTTTGGTCTCTTGCACGGAGCGGCGGCTGCAACAGAGGGAGAATGCGGTTTATTCATCTGTTCGATCTCATTTTACGCTTTATTAATTGTCACCATTCATCACCATTACCATCAACATCATCATCATCATTATTATTACTACTATTATTACACTTATCATTCTTATCGCTATCACTATAATCTTCTTATCATCCTAGCTCGACGTTGGATTTTGTATGCGTGGTGAGACGAAGCGTGGCTGGGGACTGGTGAATAAGGCTGCGAGTTAGGTTGTTTAAAAAGTTGGTGGCTTGGTCATGGCATTTTGAGTGTGATAGCTCTTGCTTGTTGACACTCACTCTCTCTCTCTCTCCTTCTCCCGCCCTCTCTCTTTCTCCCTCTTCTCTCTCTCTCTCTCTCTCTCTCTCTTCTCTCTCTCTCTCTCTCCTCTCTCTCTCTCTCTCTCTCTCTCTCTCTCTCTCTCTTCTCCTCTCTCTCTCTCTCTCTCTCTCCCCTTCTCTCTCTCTCTCCTCTCTCTCTCTCTCTCCTCTCTCTCTCTCTCTCTCTCTTCTCTCTTTCTCTCGCTCTCTTTCTCTCTTCGCTCTCTCTCTCTCTCTCTATCTCTCTCTCTCTCCTCTATCTCTCTATCTTCTCTCTCTCTCTCTCTCTCTCTCTCTCTCTCTCTTCTCTCTCTCTCTCTCTCTCTCTCTCTCTCTCTCTCTCCTCTCTCTCTCTCTCTTCTTCGTCTTCTTATCTTTCCACTCCACTCCTCTCCCTCCCCCCTCCCTGTCCCCATCTTATGGCCTACAAAAGCAGACAATAGCAGCCACATATTAAAAGTATTCCCCGCTTCGCATGATAAAACGCACCAAGATAAACACTTCAAGCTTGTGGCCACATAACTGATTCCACAGAAAATTACCTTGAAAAAAAAATAAATCTCTATCTGTCCTATCTGTCTGTTCGCCCTCTCCCTATTTCTCCCTCTCCCCTCCATATGCCTTCCTTCCTCCCCTTTCCTCTCTGTTTGTATGTGTATGTGTCTTTATCTCTCTCTCTCTCTCTCTCTCTCTCTCTCTCTCTCTTCTCTCTCTCTCTCTCTCTCTCTCTCTCTTCTCTCTCTCTTCTCTTCTCTTCTCTCTCTCTCTCTCCTCTTTCTTTACACTGACTAAGAGAACGGAAATGATAAAGAAGGCGTGAAATTATGAGAAGAAAACAAACCGTAAGTGTCACCTTCCCGTTTTCTTTTTAAAGAGGACTGTACTAAAGCAGCGTGACGATTTCCTCTGCGAGATCTCGGTTATTGGCGGGAAAAGGTAGCGTTAAATGACTCAGATTATTAAAAAAGCAGTCATCGTTTGTATGTATGTGTAGGTATGTTGTTATGAGTGGGGTGTGCATTTATGTGTGCGTGTGTGAAGAGTGTATTTGTGTCATGTTCTACTAACGTGGATGAAAGACAAATGATAAAGGTTGATGACGCCCGATGGATGATGACTGGAAGAAGTGGATAACGGAGAGGAAAAGGATGTCAACGACGATGTATGATGAGAAAATGAAAAAGATGAATAAGGAAAAACACAACATTGCAGTCGCTTGCATAACATACCACTGGGGCAAAGCTGATAATGAAGCCAGTCGTTATCGGGGACATTGAAGTGCTCTTAATGCACCACACATTCCTTATCAGTTTATCGCCATGAGCAGAATTTAGCCTAATAAAACCTTTGTTCTGTAAGCTAGTCGCTTCATTTTCATGAACAAAACTATGTGCAAAGTGAATAAAGTAAATTAATTTGTTATGTATGTGTATGTATATATGCATATCTATACATGCATGCATGCAAGGATACATTCATAATTCCAGATAATATTTTTCAAATTATCTTATCACTTTCATTATCAAGTAATCATTGCCATCCCACAATATGTATTTAAACAAATGAAGAAAACAATGACGAAAAAACGAGATTTATAACGGTAGCCGTCACAGGGATAAACACCGTCACGTGACTGGGCTGTGTGACAGACATCTGGCGTGAACTGGAACGGCGTAATGTCTTCCTTTGCCTTTGCCGACGCACCCACGCTCCCACAACGAGGAATTCGGACATCTGTAATGCGTCTGGCTTTCTCCCCGACAAGTGCAGGCCGCATCCGGTATGTAGGCCTACTTTAAACGCCCCCCCCCCCCCGCCATCACTCATTCACCTGGTTACGACCCCGCCAATTAAGGTGGCGGGCGGGGTGGCGTCGAGAGAAAGTTCGGTTCGGGGCCGAGGGGGAAGGGCGAGGGTGGGAGGGGGCAGGAGGGAAAAGGAAAAGGAGGGTGGAGCGGTTGGTGGAGAAATACGAAATGGTTCAGTGGTTGACACACAAACGGTCAAACAGGCACACAAACACACGCAAATACACACACACACAGAAAAGGAAACAAACAGAAAACCCTACCCCCCCCCCTTCCGCAAAAGAAAACCCCAAACATCTCAATAACCTTAATTTCTAACCTTCACCCAAAGAGGGTTACAGGAAAGACCCGACGAGATGCCTAATCGCCTTTAATGAACTTACTTTCAGCATCAGTCTACCTAAAACGAGGGTGCGGCTGCCAAGGACACGTGTTTCCAAATGATCTCATTATACAGTCGTGTATTTTTAAAAATGATTTTACATCTTGTTATGTAAGTTAACGTATAATCATCTCATTCGTAATTATGCTATTCATGAATGAGTTTAAAGGGGCGTTAGCGCGAGAGAATGGCAATGGATGAATTGCAAAAAAATGAAACTTATGGATGTCGATAGAGGGTGGTCTTCTGAGAGAAGAGGAAGAGAGAGAGAGAGAGAGAGAGAGAGAGAGAAGAGAGAGAGGAGGAGAGAGAGAGAGAGAGAGAGAGAGAGAGAGAGAGAGAGAGAGAGAGAGAAAGTGGACAGAGAGAGGATAGACAAAGCGATAGACAGATGGAGAACAGACAGAGACATTTAGAGAGACGGGGATAGAGCGAATGAAGGACAAAAACAGAGAGACTGCGATTGACTACAGGCCACCCCGCGCCATTCGAAGCCCGACCTCCGGTTAGAAGATTAATATGATTAATAAGATCGCTATGTTTATCAATTTATCTTTTTTGTCTATGATATCCCTCTACACATACGGCTTTGCATGAAAGCACGAGACAGTTGCTTAAACAAATTACGGTAGTTACAGTGATACCAATAAATGCTAATGATAATGATAACGTTAGTAGTAATAATTATGACATTATTACCCTAATGATAATAATACTGATAATAATAATAATAGTAATAATAATATCAATCTTAATTGTGATAATAACAATTAACAATGATAATGATAACAATAAAAAAATATCAACAATACTGCTAATGCTACTTATATAACTAGCATACTACCACCACTATTACTACTACCAATCCTAGTAATAATAACGGCGGAATTCACTGAGCTGCAAATACCTGTTAAGAACGGACAAAATTCATAGTTCATAGCTGATCTCACTTTTTTCTATGCTAATTTCGCGCTAGTTCTTAATCTGAACTAATGAATGGTAGAGAGTAGGCCTACACGACACCCCTTTTCACTTTCCCTTTGCAATGGACACACACCATCACGTTTCCTCATGACACATTTCCACATCATACACGTTACATGATCACAAAATCATTGACGTCACGGACGGAGTGGATTTTATAAGAATCATAATTTGTGAATTATATATCATCGACGTTGACACACAAATCTTATCACCCGCATCTTATCGGCGGCTTGGAAAATCGTTTTGTCTTATCTGTGAACCGAAGTCGATGCCAGTTTTCAACACACGCAGGGTTTTCAGTTTTCGCAGAATTCTTGATCACGTGAACATGTGTGCATAAGAAAACGTACATACCCTCTCCAAATCTGCCACTTTATTATCTATCAATATGTATGATTATATCAGCCTTGGATACCGTAGAAGAAATACGTATGTTGGTATTTATTTATGCTGACGGTAAGTATTATCAGGTTAGCGATAAAGAATACAAAAAATGGAGGAAAACCATTGTAGTTCGAGGGAGAGGGAAAGGGAGGGGAGGGGGGAGCGAAAGAGGAAGGGGAAAATGAAAGAGAGGAAGAGAAAAAAAAATTGAATGGGGGGGAGATATAGGGAGAATGGAATAGAATGGAGGGGATACTAGAGGGAAGGAGGAAAAAGAGGGAATGGAGAAAAGGAAGGGGAAGGGCGGGAGAAGGAGAAAAAAGATACAAAAGGAAGATAAGAGTAGGGGGCTGGGATAGTGAAGGGAGAAGGGGGAAGGGTTGGATAACTGCACTTTGGGTGGATCGTGCTTGGCTGGGCGAGGGACCAAGGCTACTCCGACTCTCTCTCTCTCTCTCTCTCTCTCTCTCTCTCTCTCTCTCTCTCTCTCTCTCTCTCTCTCTCTCTCTCTCTCTCTCTCTCTCCTTGTCTCCCTCTTTCTCTCAATCTTTCCCTTCTCTCTCTAACACATTTTCTCTCTGCATCTCACCCTCTCTCTTTCTCCATCTCTCCCTCTCTCTTCCTCCACCTTTCCCTCTCTCTTCTCCATCTCCCCCTCTGTCTCTCCACCGTCTCTCTTCTCTATCTCCCCCTCTGTCTCTTCATCTCACCATCTCTCTTTCTCTATCTCTTCCTTTCTCTTACTCAATCTATCCCCATCTCTCTCCATCTCACTCTCCTTCACTCTCATCTCTCTCTTTCCCTACCCCCCTTCCTCCTCCACTGCCCCCCCCCCGCCATCGCCGGAAGTGCCGCGACCCGGACCTTTGTCTGCAGGTTGACCTTATGACGCGGACACCCAGCTGACCTTCCTCGCGCGAGTGAATCATTAAGTGTTTCTTGTCCCTTGTGTGGGTAGCCAGGTAGTCTGCACTTAAGTGTTTTATTAAATGTATGGGTCTGCCTGTCTGTCTGATTGGCCAACAATTTCATTTTTTTGTGTTAACGTGTTTTTATGTTAGTACTTATGTCTGTTTGTCTTTATCCATTTTTCATTAATCTTCTTGGGGTGTATTGATGTCTGTTTCATTTCCGATTGTCTGTGGGTATATATTGGTATATTTCTTTTTCTGTCTGTTATTTTGATCTGTGTTTATTTGTCTGTCTTGTTACTTCTCTGTCTGCCTGTCACCTTCGTCTCTGTGTTTACTCACGCTACATCTGTCTGTGTTTGTATTTTATTAATTAGTCCGCCTCGATGTCTCGTTAAACAGACATAGAGCAAGAAAAAAAGGGGAAAGAATAAAGCCAACAAGATAAACGTTTTGAAAAGAGGGATACGAATGCAAAAAAATATAACGCACTAGATTTCAAAAGAAATACATGCAAAAAATTAAAATGAGATTGTAAGCTAACGGTAAAATTACATTCTTTACACCAAGGCCATTCCTTCATATTTTTCTTTCGAATATGAGACATTATTACAGTCATTAATTCACAATACATCAAGGGAGCGTGAGTATATATTATTTTTCATTTTACAGACGATCTCCTTGTTCAAATAAGAGGACTTTTTATTGTCTACGTAATTTAAAAATACTTGTAGGTCATGAAGTTTGTTTGTGTTTATTCACCCACCCTTCCGCATGAAAAAATACCAAAAAACAGAAACCTCCCGGAAATAATAAATAACTGCTTATATTACAAAGTAAAGCTATTTTTAAACCGAAGCAAATGTAAACAAATGCCCGTTACGGATATAAGGAAAATACCGATATTTAAAAAAAACGTTGATCGTATAAGCAAAATACGGACCAAACAGCAAAAATATTTACAGCAAATATATGCAAAAATAGCAGAAGCTTCGGCTCGCTCCGCCCACAACTCTCGCGAAAGTCCTATAACCGAGATTTCACTGTCATTCGACCGTGGAATATTGGTCACTGTTAGAAGTGCCTTTGACGAGGAGATGAATTTGACCTAAATAGCCCTAAGAGATGTGGTCAGCCATTCGAAAGTGGAAATTAGGTAAAATCCAGTATTGTTAATCTATTTTTTACAGCTATATGAGTCACATATTCACTTGCCTGTCAGATTTCTATTCTCTATATTTGTTTTTCATTTCTTAAAGATCTAATCAAAATATCAAATAAAAACTAAAATCATAACACCATAATGAATAACAATTAAGAAAAGACTTAGAGTGTTTCAAAAATCCAAAAAATATCGTTCGGGTGAAATCCTCCATCGATCTTTACGGAATTTGGCCACGGTTCATCTCGCACAAAAATACAACAAAATATTAGAAATCGGCAGAACCAAAATCAAAGCGCAAGAAATATCCTAATATTCCTATGATTTTTTTTTTATTAATCTTTATCTTCTTGTGAGAATTCTTACGAATCCTGTCACGGTTTCTTCTGCAAGCTTTCCAAAGAAGTATATCAAATCAATCAATGAATCATGAAATAAAAAGGGAAATGTATACCCTTGTCCTAAATCAATTAATAACCCTTGAATCATAAAAGAGAGTAGAAAATAATATTTGTTCATTATCTTTACACACACACACACACACACACACACACACACACACACACACACACACACACACACATATATATATATATATATATATTATATATATATATATATATATATTATATATATACACTAACACACACATACATATACATACATATATATATATATATATATATATATATATATATATATATATATATATATTATACCTCCACTAAACTAAAAGACAATTTATTCTAAATCCTCAATTATCCTTACAAAAATCCTACTCTAAAATCCAAAAAATATCTAAAAAAAATCTAAATATATATCCTATCCTAAAACCTCACACCCTCCATTACCCCCACCCCCACCCCCCACCCCGCAAAAAATAAGGTAAAAAAAATCCTTATCCAGACATCCCTTCGCCATCCTACAAAAAATGTTATCCTTATCCTTAACCTAAAAGAGGAATTCCTCCATCATTATCCTTACCTCCCGCCGTAGATATCCTGATTGATGGCATGTTCTCATCGTCGGAGAGCTCGACGTCGCTCCCTCCATCATGGGCACGTTCATATGCCGTGGGGGGCGGCATTCTGAAGGGAGGAGGGGGGTTAGGCCGGGGAGAGATGCTGGTTGGAGAGAGACGGGGGTGGGGAGAGGGGGAAGGAGAGATGCTGGTTGGAGAGAGACGGGGGTGGGGGAGAGGGGGAAGGAGAGATGCTGGTTGGAGAGAGACGGGGAGAGGGAGGGAGGGAGAGGGGGAGGGTGGAGGAGAGGGAGAGAAAGAAAGAGAGTGAAAAAGAGAAGGGGAGGAATGGAGGGAGGGAGAAGAGGGGAGGGAAGAAAAAGAGAAAGAAAGAGGGAGAGAGAGAGGAGCATACGGACAGACAGCAAAAAACACGAGTGAGAAAAAAAACACAAGATCAAAACAATAATAAAATTAAAAAAAAGTGAAAGGCAAAGGAAATCACGAAAACGGACAATAAAAAAGGAAGAATTTACATAAACAAGATCCTTTTCCGAGTTCACAAGACACCACGAACTTTCACTGCCATACAGATATGCGGTTGCTACTCCATACACTGTAACCGCAGGGAAGTTCCGAAAAACACACCGAAAACGAATCTGGAAAGTTGTTCACCGAGAAAGTTAAATGCGGTTATATAGTGAATATCGAGAGAAAATGAGAACGAGGTTAATAACAATAATGGTGAAAATGATAATAGCAGTAACAACGGAAAGAAATGTCATTGTGTTTGTTTTCTATCCATTAAAATTCTTGAAGACGCAGCAAAACATAATGTGAATGTAAAGGAAGTTATTTTAGAATTTTAAGTGAGCGCAATAGTTGTCAACTGCACGCTCAATCGAGCTACGCGTTCTAACATAAAATTATAAAAGTATATACCGTATATTTTTTTTTCATTATTATTAGATGTCTCTTTCTTCCTATTCATTTCCTTGCATATATTCCTTTGCGTTTAATATTGCTACCAACCATACTGTATTGCCACTTTTCGTACTTCAGTATGCCGTTAGTGAGAGTGAAACGTCATGCAACTTTGACAGCGATGCATGACAGCTCTGCGCCCTCCCTCCTCCCTCCGTCAGGCTTGGGTAAGAGCCACCTTCATGACGGCAACCTTGACCTAATCGCAAGTACCTGTGCGTTTTTGTCAGCAATCACTAACTGGCATCCGTTCCTTCATCGGTGATCAAATATACACAATAGCACATCATAACTGCAGAAAATCTCAAGAAAATCACAGAAAAATTCGCTTTCGTTCGGAATGCGCTGCCGCCACACGCAGGGCAATAGAGTAAGAGCAGAGAGTCGCCTGTCACCATTGGTGTCCTCTCTGCGTGTTGTGTCGCGCAGTGACTCACCGCCCGCGCCAAGCCAAGGAGCCGCAGGGGAGTGTTCCGCCCGCGAGATAGCCGAGGTCCGGCCGCCCTTTCGCTGTTGGGCCATGACGCTAGGGTAGTCAGCTGCAAAGGCCTTCCACGCTTCAGTTTGTTGTACTTCATAATGCTTATTTGTGCCACCGGCGATTTAGTTTCATCTAGGTTTACCTTACTGTTGGCGTGTTCTAGCGCATATGTTTGCAAGTGTACTTGTAAATTCTTTCTCAGTCATGTCCTGTATGGCTTTGGCGAAGAGACTTCCCCCACACCCACCGCCCACAACGCCTTAGTAGCCTCAAGGATGGGCGTGGGCTTGGGTGCCCCCTCACCATCTTCGGGTACTACTAGATCCGGGTGAAGTCATTTCGATAGCATCAGAAAAGCTTGTACGAGGACATAGGGCAGGGTTTGCCGATGGACAATGTCCTTGCTGTTATGTTCTTGTTTTTCTTTTACTGTAATTACTGGAAGAAATCCTCGTGGTCGTAACTCAGGGATTATTGTGGTAATCTCCTTCATTTTATGGCGGTGATATCCTGCAGCTATTCGCCGAGGTAGAGTTTGCAACATGCTGGACATACCGCCCTGTCTGAGCTGTTCTCTCATCGACGAAGTTTTCAAGAACGATGGAAGTTTTTCAGACGACAAAGGGAACCGAAGAAAAAAGAAGAGTAAGTGGTACCAAATAAAGATGCTATGTAGAAAGAGAAAAAGAGCGAGGAAACACGCGAAACCGCCGAACGAAGCTAACAGCGAAAGAAAGAGAAGCGAAAAGAACGAAGAAGAGCAATGAGGTGAAAGAGCAGATGCAGCGACGCAGCCACGGGGAGGACGTAGGCGGGACGACCCTGGTCAGACACGGCGACGCGTTTCCGTGCACTCACCCTCGAGACATTCCCTCCCATTTCCTATTCACCTCCTTCTAAGGCTTTTATACACGGTCGACGGATCCCCTGCTGGTCTTTCCTCATACCCCGCGCCGTCACTAAATGCCATTTCCTTACGAATTTCATCCCAAGAGAAAATTAAAATATTCTTTTTCCCCTGTCTGCCCGTCTGGCTTTCTGCGTCTCCCCTTTTTTCTCCGTAAATGGACTTCCTATTTCGTTTTATCGTGTGATTCTCCTACCTACATGCAGCACAGAAAGATATTATATTTATCATTTTCATTACTCCAAAAGCGCGTATGCAAACAGGTGCTTGGTACATAGGGTGGACGTGGGCACACTCGGTGAGAAGTGGTTGACTGTTGTGGACTTTGCGGTTGATCCAGACAATGGAAAAGGTTATGCAAGGCCGTTCGACCGCCGCAAGGGTGTGTGGCGGAATTCGGAATCTGTGACGTGCTGGGAAAGAACATCATTACAGATATTTTTGTGGCGACTTCATGGAATGCGCAGCATATCCCATGGAGAAACTACTTTTTCTACCTAACAAAACAGCCTGTCCTTAGAAGAGAAAAAAAAGTGGAAGAAATGTTGACAAGGAAAGAGTGGTGTGCTGCATCAGCGCCGTCGTGAAAGGTTAGACACGCACGCGGGACAAAACCCTTTCGACGCCCGGCATCTTTTTATTACCAAACACAACAAAGTCCTTCACGTTAACGCAATTAAATAGAATTCGCCAGAAAAACTCGGAACACAGAAAAGTCACACGTCAGGTCTCGAACCATTGTTGAAGTTTGTTGTTGGGTTTTTGAGAGACTTCGAAGGTCGGGTTTGAGTGAGTCAGCCGGGCGGGGCAGCGTTGACTCGCGCGCGACCGTTTCGGCGGGCAAATGTCGGCCGATTTATTAATCGAAATGGTGGCTGAGATTAAATTGAATATATAAACACATATTCACAACACATACGGAAACATAAATGTGTGTGCACACACGGATAGCTTTTACGCTATTTGCTTGTGTTCGGATACGTACGAAATATTGGAAAATATGCACAATTATTTAAAATGATCGATGAAAAGCAAAAAACCTGGAACATATTTCCAATCCAAGGAAGAGCTAGTGAAAAGGGAACGAATCTATGCAATACCCGGTATCATACCAAGGCAGTAGAGTGAAGTTTCCCGATTTTTGTGAGGAGCGTCAGTAACGGTGTTGACCACTTGATGGCAACACATCGTCAAGGCTGACCACCTCCCCAACACTTGTCAGGAATCAGGACTTCTCTGGAAACCGTTCGCATGATCTGCGCAATTCACAAATGTGTGTTCGTTTCGAAGCCTTTTCGACAATAAGAACACGATTTTATTATTTTCATTATACGGTTATGATTGTTTCGATGCCATTTCAACGATAAGCACATTATTTTATTTTCATATATACGGTTATTTCTAAAACGAAACATTGAAATTCTGTTTCCTTACTATTGAATTTAGTTTGAGATGAATACACCTTACTATCATCTCTAAGTGAAAAGTTCCTTCAATGAATTGTTCATTTGACACAAAAGAATCTAATGGTAAAATTAGGTTAGTCGTGAGATCCAGCGAAGGGAGTGGAGAGGGGGAGGGGGAGGAAGAGGGGGAGGGGGCTTTACCTGAACCTGGACCCCCCATCTTCCTGTCGTGACCCGTAAATGCCATCGACCTACCCTGGTCACTTGGTCGCGAGATCTGGCGATAACAAGAGTAGCTATTTTATCAGTGAATATGCTTATCGCTCTTATCGCTGTTAAAATTCATTCGTATATCACAGTGTTCATTACAATGTCTCATTAGAATTGATACCGGCTACTGGTATTTTCATTGTTGCCATCGTTGTTATTTTTCAGAATAGCAATGTCAGTTTATCATTAATGAATATTCAATATAATCTAACATCACTGTCGGATCAAAATTCAGTAAGTTATTTCAAGATATCAAACAGATGAGCACTATAGTCCGCCATGACAACTGTCTGAAAATATGGGTTCTGGCTCCGGTTTAGAGTCTGTAAATAAGACATTATCAACTACCTTTTTCCTAGCCAGTCGGTCACGCACCGGCTGAACAATATATAGAATTAGTGGAAATTTTCTATTATATCAGTTAAAAGAAATACTTCCTATATTAACATCAACTGATTGCACCCAAGCTAAAAGCAAAATATTCCGCCACTGAATTGATTACAGCGCTTGTATTTCATTTGATCAAAGATGTTCAGTCGCTGTTGGTAAATAAGTCAGTTCATTTATCGAAATAAATGCTCAATAAAGTCCAAAATTCCGCTAATGCATTTGAAGACGAGAAATAGAAAATAACCGAAGGTAAAATTGAATAAAAATAGCTTTCCTCTGTTAATGGAAATTGATACCAAACGGTACACATATGTCTCTTTGCCTGATATCGTTCTATGCAATTGGTACGTTTTCGTCTCGTCACGGACTTTTTGTTATGTATTAGCACCGCAACATTTTCACATAAAAGCCAACCCTAACTTTAAGAACCATATGATCATTTCCTTTACTTGGGCCAAAGGCAACATTTCAGCCATACGAGAAAGTAAGGAGATTGGCAACAAGAACATGGCGAAAAGATAAAGGAAATGAGACACCCATAAAGAAGTGCGCGGCAAGGAAGAGTATGGAAATGGGGACGGGGAAGGCTGTTCAGCAAGGTAGGAGCGGAAGGTAATGAGGGAAGAAAGGAAGGGAACGGGAAGAAGAAGGTGGGGGAGGCCCGGGGAAAGGGAGAGGGAAGACCCAGG